TGCATCTATTGAAAGGATCATGTGGTTCTTGTCCTTTCTTTTATTGAGGTGATGTATCACATTGATTGTTTTGCAGATGTTGAACCAGCCCTGCATCCCAGGTATAAATCCCATTTGGTCATAGTGAACAAGTCTTCTAATGTATTGTTGGATCTGGTTGGCTAGTATCTTATTGAGGATTTTTGCGTCCATGTTTATCAGGGAAATTGGTCTATAGTTCTCCTTTTCAGTGGGGTCTTTGGTTTTGGAATCAAGATAATGCTGGCTTCATAGAAAGAGTTTGGAAGTTTTCCTTCCATTTCTATTTTTTGGAACAGCTTCAAGAGAATAGGTGTTAACTTTTCTTTAAATGTTTGGTAGAATTCCCCTGGAAAGCCATCCGGCCCTGGACTCTTGTTATTTGGGAGATTTTTGATTACTAACCAATTTCTTTACTGGTTATGGGTCTGTTCAAATTTTCTATTTCTTGTTTCAGTTTTGGTGGTGTATATGTTTCTAGGAATTTGTCCACTTCTTCCAGATTGCCAACTATATTGGCATATAATTGCTTGTAATATTCTTACTATAGTTTGTATTTCTTTTTTATTTTTTTTTAACGTTTGTTTATTATTGAGAGACAGAGACAGAAGATGAGCAGGGAAGGGGCAGAGAGGGGGAGACACAGAATCCAAAGCAGGCTCCAGGCTCTGAGCTGTCAGCACAGAGCCTGACGTGGGGCTTGAACTTGTGAATTGTGAGGTCATGACCTGAGCCCAAGTCGGACGCTTAACTGACTGAGCCACCCAGGTGCCCCTTGTTGTTCATATTTCTGCTGTGTTGGTTGTGATCTCTCCTATTTCATTCTTGATTTTATTTACTTGGGTCCTTTCCTTTTTCTTTTTGACCAAACTGGCGAGGGGTTTATCAATTTTGTTAATTTTTTCAAAGAACCAGCTCCTCGTTTCATTGATATATTCTGTTATTTTTTGGTTTTGATAGCATTGATTCCTGCTCTAATCTTTATTATTTCCTGTATTCTTCTGGTTTGGGGTTTTATTTGCTCTTCTTTTTCCAGCTTTTTAAGGTGTAAGGTCAGGTTATGTATCTGTGACCTTTCTTCCTTCTTTAGGAAGGCCTGGATTGCTATATACTTTCCTCTTTGACCTCCTTTGCTGCATCCCAGCGGTTTTGGGTTGTGGTGCTATCATTTTCATTGGCTTCTATGTACTTTTTAATTTCCTCTTTAACTTCTTGGTTAGCCCATTCATTCTTTAGTAGGACGTTCTTTAGTCTCCAAATATTTGTTGTCTTTCCAATTTTTTTCTTGTGGGTGATTTCAAGTTTCATAGTGTTGTGGTCTGAAAATATGCACGGTATGATCTCGATCTTTTTGTACTTGTTGTGGGCTGATTTGTGTCCCAGTATGTGATCTATTCTGGAGAATATTCCATGTGCAGTGGAGAAGAATGTGTATGCCACTGCTTTAGGATGAAATGTTCTGAATATATCTATTCAGTCCATCTGATCCAGTGTGTCATTCAAAGCCATTGTTTCCTTGTTGATTTTCTGCTTAGATGATCTGTCCATTGTTGTCAGTGGGGTACAGAAGTCCCCTACTATTAGGGTATTATTATCAATGAATTTCTTTATGTTTGTAACTAATGGATTTATATAGTTGAGTGGTTGCATTTTTGGGGGCATATATATTTACAATCGTTAGATCTTCTTGGTGGATGGACCCCTTAATTATGGATGGACCCCTTAATTATGATATAATGCCCTTCTGCATCTCTTGATACAGTCTTTATTTTAAAGTCTAGATTGTCTGATATAAGTAAGTATGGCTACTCCGGCTTTCTTTTGTTGACCATTAGCATGATAGATTGTTCTCCATCCCCTTACTTTCAATCTGAACGCATGTTTAGGTCTGAAGTGGGTCTCTTGTAAACAGCATATAGATGGATCTTGTTTTCTTATCCGTTCTGATACCCTCTGTCTTTTGATTGGAGCGTTTAGTCCATTGACATTTAGAGTGAGTACTGAAAGATATGAATTTATTGCCATCGTGTTGCCTGTAGAGTTGGAGTTTCTGGTGGCATTCTCTGTTCCTTTCTAGTCTTTGTTGCTTTCGGTCCTTTAAGTTTTGTTTCATCTTTTCTCACCTCAGAGAGTCCCCTTTAAAAATTTCTTGCAGGGCTGGTTTAGTGGTCACTAACTCCTTTAATTTTTGTTTGCCTGGGAAACTTTTAATCTCTCCTTCTATTTTGAATGACAGCCTTGCTGGATAAAGAATTCTTGGCTGCATATTTTTCTGATTCAGCACACTGAATATATCCTGCCACTCATTTCTGGCCTGTCAAGTTTCTGTGGATAAGTCTGCTGCAAACCTGATCTGTCCTCCCTTGTAGGTTAGGGACTTTTTTTTCCCTTGCTGCTTTCATGATTCTCTCCTTGCCTGAGTATTTTGTGCATTTGACTATGATACGCTTTGTTGATAGTTCGTTTTTGTTCAATCTAATGGGAGTTCTCTGTGCTTCCTGGATTTTGATGTCTGTGTCTTTCCCCAGGTTAGGAACCTTTTCTGTTATGATTTGCTCACATAAATCTTCTACCCCTTTTTCTCTCTCTTCATCTTTTGGGACCCCTATGATTCAGATGCTTAAAAAATTTTTTAATGTTTATTTTTGGGGGGGAAGGAGGGGCAGAGAGAAAGGGAGACTCAGAATCCGAAGCAGGCTCTAGGCTCTGAGCTGTGAACACAGAGCCTGAAGTGGGGCTCGAACTCATGGACTGTGAGATCATGACCTGAGCTGAAATCATGAGTTGGATGCTTAACCAACTGAGCCACCCAGGCTCAGTTTTATTTTTGAGAGCGTGTAAGCAGAGGAGGGGCAGAGAGAGAGGGACAGAGGATCTAAAGCTCCAAGCTGTCAACACAAAGCCCAATGTGGGGCTTGAACCCATGAATCATGAGATCATGACCTGAGTCAAAGTTGGACGCTTAACTGAGTGGGCCACCCAGGCGCCCCTAAAGATTTTATTTTTAATTTTTTTTTCAACGTTTATTTATTTTTGGGACAGAGAGAGACAGAGCATGAACGGGTGAGGGGCAGAGAGAGAGGGAGACACAGAATCAGAAACAGGCTCCAGGCTCTGAGCCATCAGCCCAGAGCCCGACGCAGGGCTCGAACTCACGGACCGCGAGATTGTGATCTGGCTGAAGTCGGACGCTTTAACCGACTGCGCCACCCAGGCGCCCCAAGATTTTATTTTTAAATAATCTCTATACTCAACATGGGGCTCGAACTCACAACCCCGAGATCAAGAGTCTCATGCTCTTCCGACTGAGCCAGCCAGGTGCTCCAACATTTATTTGCTTTATAAAATCCGTGTGTAATGATCCTCAAGTGGAGAATAGTTTTGGCGTTTGTTTTGGGTAGGTTGTCCAAATAGTTATGGACAGCCAGACCTTACTCTTTAAAAATTTTTTTAAACGTTTATTTATTTTTGAGAGAGACAGACAGAGTACAAGTGGGAGAGGGGCAGAGAGAGAGGGAGACACAGAATCCGAAGCAGGCTCCAGGCTCTGAGCTGTCAGCACAGAGCCAGACGCGGGGCTCGAACCCATGAACCGTGAGATCATGACCTGAGCCAAAGGTGTACGCTTAACCGACTGAGCCACCCAGGAGCCCCTAAACCTTACTCTTTAATTAGGAGAACTAGTTGAGAAGGAACAGATTTGTCTCTTGATCTCCGTTCTGTTTTATCAAGGCGGAAAATTCCTTGAATTGATTGTCTCTTCACACACAAAGAAAGATTCATCAGAGTTTGTGGAACTTGGTGGAAATATGGAGAAAGGCTCCAAAGAAAAAGGAGGCAAATTCAGGAGCGGGAGAAACAGTGTGTCCATTGTCATATTATAAGGATTTCTCAGCGTCCTGATAATTATCTTCCAAAGCAGATTTGTCGCTTGAAACTCCTAGTGTGGCTTCTGGAAGAAACAGCGGAAGGATGGTAGTTAATGTTTGCAGCCGGAGCTCTGCATAATTCAAAAAGGATTTGTAACTGTAGCGTTCTTGCTGTAAGGCTACCATCCCGATCCTGGTGTTGGAGAACAGAGCATTTGAGGAAAAACCTTTTCCGAAGCTGAACGCTGGCCCTGAGAGAGATGATTTTTTTTTAAATGTTTATTTATTTTTGAGAGAGACGGAGAAAGAGAGACAGAGCATGATTGGGGAAGGAACAGGGAGAGAGGCAGACACAGAATCCAAAGCAGCTCCAGGCTCTGAGCTGTCAGCACAGAGCCTGATACGGGGCTTGAACTCCTGCACTGTGAGATCGTGACCTGAGCTGATGTCAGATGCTCAACCGACTGAGCCACCCAGGTGCCCCTAAGAACAGACTCTTGTAATGTAATACTCCCTTGCTTAGTGCTTCCTTCCAGAGGGGGAGGGAAAGTTTACCTCTTATGTTCTCTTAGCGGCCGTGTCAGTTTACAAATCTTTGTTTTTAAAGGAATGAGATGAAGAAAATAAGGCCTATTGGAGCATATGCGGGCATAATCGGGCGGAGAGGGGTGCCGTTGGGAATCCGTTTCTTTTTGTCTCCAACTCCCAGAGGGTTCATGGTAGCGTGGGGCAGTGGAACAGGTTCACTGGGAGGGAGGAGGGCGGCGTGAGTCTGGGGTGACCAGAGCAGGTGCACAGGAGGGAGGGGGGCGGGTTCAGAGCCCCACACTGGGCTTTGTGCCGACAGCTTGGAGCCTGCTTTAGATCCTGCGTCCCTCTCCTCCTCCTCGCAGGGAGGGGTCTGGGGTGACCAGGGTGTGGGGCTGCCTGCAGTCGGCTCATACACCCTCAGCACGGAGGCCCCCGGTCCTTCAGCAGTGCCGTCTGGCTCCGTCGCGAACGCCTCTAGACTAAGGCTTCTGGACGCGGCTTCAAGTGCACCGCCGATTCTCAGTAAAATTCATGCCTGGACAGAAGGTAGTAGAAAAATGCCTGATTCGTCTGTGTCCCCAGTGACTGCAGTCTGCCCGAGAACCCTCTGTTCATTGCCTGCGGCGGCCAGCGAACCAGCGCCCAGGGGTAAGTGGATTCCAAACCTGTTCATAGAGAAACAACGTCCAAACCGATCAGGGAACACACCGAGGGGTGCTCGGTAGACACGAAGACAGGATCTGCGGGCAGGTAGGTGTGGGGGTCCGCCACTTACAGCCGTGTGATTTTTCAAGCAAGTTGCTTAATTTTTTTTGAGGCGCAACTTCCTCCTCCTGGCAAGGTAGAAAAAAACACATGTCCATATTCCCAGAATCATGACCTGGATTTCGTGCCAGCGTGGATGTAAAGCAATTAGCATATCAGCGAGTCGCTCGCTAAGGAGTAAAAATGGTAGTTCATGGTGTTATTACTGTCGCTGTTCGCACTCAGCAGCTTTACTTGCTCAGGGTGAAATCTGGGTAGTCCTCGAGGAGACCGGGTGAGCAGAAGATGGTCAGGTGGTTCCTGAGGAGGGGGGCCAGGGGGCCCGACTTGTATTCTGAGGGCTGGCGTCCCTGTGGGGCCCCGTCCCGACCACGTGCGCTTACTAAGCGTGTTCGTATTCTGCACGTCAGTAACGAGAGGGTGTTTCCTCCTCGCCGGCCCCAGGGGCTGGTTTAGGCTTTGAGGCCTCATCGTGAGCAGGACAGAGACGGTTCCTGCGCCCCAGGGTATGTGTCCGGCAGGGAGATGGGCACTGAACAAAACTCGTAGATAGTCTCAAGTGTCAGGAGGGACGTACCATGGAGGGCCCTGACCCCGTCACAGGAGGACCCTCACCGCGACGAAGCGGTGTTTCCGTGGATATTTCAGGGTGAGCGAGGGGTAGATACTCGGACGCCGCTGCAGTGAGAGAGAGAGAGAGAGAGAGAGAGAGAGAGAGTAGAGCCGCAGAACAGGAGAGTTAAGCCCTCACGGTTTAATTTATTTAAATGAGGTAAGCCTTTGTTTTTTTTTTAATGTAACTGAATTGAATGCCTCTGGCTCGAGCTTGTAATGTCTAGGATGTCAGAGTCCCTACACCGGCTGGCGTTGTACGTGGGCCCCTGCGTTCACTCCCGTTTCCCGGCTGCTCTGTCCCGCTCCTCTGCGCATCTGGTTTGTTGCCTCTTAAAATATATGACTTTGAAAACATACTTTATTGCATGGTTCATTCCAGCGTGTCTTTGAAGATAAATCTGTGTGCCTGCATACCGGCGTCCCAAGCACCTACCATTTCTTTTTTTTTAAGTAGTCTTTTTTTAATGTTTATTTTTGAGAGACGGGGTATGAGCGGGGCAGGGGCAGAGAGAGCGAGGGAGACACAGAATCCGAAGCTCCGACTCGCGAACCCACGCAATCATGACCCGAGCTGAAGTCGGACGCTCACCTGAGCCGCCCAGGCGCCCCACCTACCGACTATCTCTTGACCATTTGCACGAAATGCTGAAATCCCGTCTTGTTGTTGTTGTTATTTTTAGTAATCTGGAAGAACTTTACACCTTTTATACCAGAAGAGTTTGAGGCTCCAGGAAGTAGTTTTTTATAAGCACCGGCTCTTAAACCTTGGAAATGTGTTCAGTAAAATTCTGTGCAATGTCCTGGGAAGGTTTTTCTCTTTCACCTTCCAGATAATAGGATTTCATGGTCTTTCACCCGAGATGGACCTGACTTCACGTCCATCGCTCGGGGGCCTGTTGTTTCCTCAGTCTGTCCCATTTTGTGGTTCTCCCTTCCAGCAGCTCCAAAGTACAGAAAAGTGATTTCCATAGGAATTTGACTGCGTCCCTCACTAAAGAGACTGCAAAAAATATAAACTATACTGAAAGAGGAGTGTTCTTCCGCGTGGATTCCTGGACCTCGGTAAGAGTTTTCTGTTGCTATGGGGGGGGGAGGGTGTGAGCTGCCCACTGCGATCTTGACCTGCAGACGTACTGGCTGTTTACTTGTTCACTGAGCGCCCTGTGTGCCTCCAGGCCAGCAAATACCCTTGGCCTCCAAATCTGGTTTTCTCCAGAGACGTCCTGAGATGTGAGTCTGGACCTTTGTGGCCTTTGGCAAGTCCCGCGGAGCCTGAGGTGGCCCTGGCGGATGCTGCATATGAAATCCATCCATGCGATCATCTTTTAAGTGTCAGTTTGGGGCGTCTGGGTGGCTCAGTCAGTTAAGCGTCCAACTTCGGCTCTGGTCACGATCTCACAGTTCGTGGGTTGGAGCCCCGCGTGGGGCTCTGTGTTGACAGCTCAGAGCCTGGAGCCTGCTTCAGATTCTATGTCTGTCTCTCTCTCTCTCTCTCTCTCTCTCTCTCTCTCTCTCTCTCTCAAACTCTCTCACCTTCCCCTGCTGCTGCTCTGTCTCAGTCCCTCAAAAATTAATAATAAAAAAAAAAGTTAGGTGTCAGACACTCAACTGGGTGTGTAAGATGAAAGGGAAATAGACTGTGACCTTGAGAAAAGGTGTCTAATTGGGGTGATAAGTACACAGATAATCATATGTACGTAGTATGCAACAAATAACACGGGTGGGCAATACTCTGCCTGTGAGACAAAACTTCCCTCTTTGACTTAGGCCTTGAACAGGAGGTTATATTTCATCGGTGAGCATGTATCTCTGTGGGTTGGGAAAGTTTGGGGGATATTTGGAAATACGAGTAGACTTTTTGGCCTGGAAAACAAGACAAGGGGTACAAAGTACTCGGAGAGGTTTGGGAAGGCACTGGACCGTGAAAGAGCTCTTAACTCCGGGAGAAGGGTTCACGCGACATCGTCTAAACGGCGCCTCTGGGAGTTGGGCAAGGGCCTGGGCGGGTCTGTTCTGTGGGGGTGCAAGCAGTGCCGACACGGGGGACGGGCTGCAGTCACCCCGGGAAGGGCCCCTTACCTGGGTTAGCGCTCTGCTGTTGCTGCCTTAAAATTCCTACTCGCTGTTGAACTAGGGGCTCTGTGCTTCCATTTTGCACTGGGCTCCGCAAATTACACAGCCAGTCCTGACCCGGGATCCTCTATCACGCACTTATCCTCTTGTCCTAGTTATTTGGATCCCCTTCATAAAAAGGGAAGTCCTGTAAGAGAAACACTTTATGTTCCTGAGGCCTGTCGTGGTGCCTGGCACACAGCAGGTGCTGATTAAATGCTTCCTGGCTGAACGAGCGAGGCAGAGCTGGGCATTAGGCTGGGCGTCTGTGTGCAGCCCGCCAGGGGGGCTGGATGGGAAAACCAGGAGGCACGGGCCTTTCCTGCAGGGCCCTCAGCGGGCTCTTCTCTGGAGCCCGAGCTGCGAGCGGCTGTCCCCCTGCTCTGACCGATGCCACTCCGCCCGGGGCAGGCCTCGGAATTCTGGTCTGGTCTCATGACGCCCTCAGGTGGATTTAGAGTTGTATCCCCTGGGCTTGGACGGATCTGGTACGTGGCCGGATTATTCAGGGCTGCTTTGGTGCGCGAGCAAGTTACGAACAGCTGAGCATCCCACACGGACGGCCCGGTCCCCGCTCCAGTGCTTTGCAGCTGAGCTCTCCCGCCTGACGCACCTCTACCTGCTGTGGTTTGGAGGGTGTTTGGGGCATCTCGGTGGTGGTCCAGTTCTTGGGGGTGAAAATATGCACAGACACGGACACAGAAGTGCACACACACGACGCATGCATACACAGAGATCTGCACACACACACCCGTAGACACACACGCAGACATGCCCCTGCACATGCATAGACACACAGATACACAATCAGTTCCATATTGAATGAACTTTTAAGCTATTTTAATCCATTAGCTTTCTTTCGTCCTGTTCTTCAGGTTAACACAGAGCACAGACCATCCTGACTTTGGTTCAGGCTAAGCCCCAGCAAACTTCCTTACCCGCTGGCGTGAGACCTGGGGCTGTAACTGCTCCCCCCCCCCCCCCCCCCCCCCCCCCCCCCGCATACTGGGATAGTGATTGGCCTGCCCTGACTGCCCATCCCAAGTGGTCTTAGCTATTGATTGGAATCAGCGCTTTGTTTGTTTGTTTGTTTGTTTATTTATTTATTTATTTATTTATTTATTTAGCACTTGTCAAAACTGGCTTCCCTTAGTCTAACACTTTTGACAAGAAATAATAGTTTTGCCGATGATGCCATGTGTCTTTACCTGCCTGTACTAATTTTGTTTTCCAGGATTCCCTTAGTTTTGCGTACCAGGCTCTGGAGAGGAACATACGGACCATGTTCACGGGCGGCTCTCAGCAGTCGCTGAAGCACGTCTCCAGCCCCTTGGCTTCTTACTTCCTGTCTTCTCCCTATGCAAGACTCGGTTGGTAGGTAGAAGTTTCTCCTATTCCTGAATGCTATCATCAGCATGACTTTCAGTCATTGAACAGATTTCGGATGGCACCTGTTGGCACCTCATATTCCGTTCCGGTCACCATCAACAAAAATATTAATTTAATTTCATCTTTATAATAACCACTTGGGGCACCTGGGTGGCTCAGTCAGCTAAGCGTCTGACTTTGGCTCAGGTCATGATCTCACGGTTCGTGGGTTCAAGCCCCGCATCAGGCTCTATGTTGACAGCCTGGACCCTGGAGCCTGCTTTGGATCTGTCTCTCTCTCTCTCTCTCTTTCTCTCTTTCTCTCTCTCTCTCTCTCTCTCTGCCCCTCCCCTGCTCGGACTCTCTCTCAAAATAATATACATTAAAAAAATTTTCAAAACCCAATAACCACGATCTCCTTAAAATTGGTGAAAATGTGTTTAAATACAAGGAGCTTTCACCTGACTGAATAATTACAACAATAAAGTATTACAGAATATTTGCAAAGCTTCAGTGTTCTTGAAGACCTAATGTCACAGACGTTTGGGAATCTAATGACATTAGAAGCATATGAACAGATGGCTAATCCAGTGATCGGAATATCCTAACTTCATATGACAAAAGCCTGGTAAACCACGGTAATTATAAATACAATGTTGGGGATGCCTCTGATTTTAATAATCAACCGAAACCGAGCCCCAGTACATAGAAGTGATTGTTTTCTGGAGGTTTGGGGACACTTCTTTTTTAAGCCACGCTCCTTAAATCCGTATGACATTGTTTCCCTTGGAAACATTTACTGACAGCTCTTCTTTTTTGGGCCACTAACGCGTGCAGCCCCAGCACGGGAATGGGGGGTGAATGTTGTTTTTACTGGCCGTTCAGTCGTGCATAATGGCTCCTCGTGGCCGCCTTCCCGAAGGAGCCAAAGGAGGCCTCCTGCTAGGCTTGCCGTCACATGGAGGGGGTATGGGGGTGGGGGAGCAGCAGTGAAGACGGAGGTCTCTCCCCCTGCACCCAGCCTCAGAGCGCAGGGAACAGCAGTGTCTCCCTGGTGCCTGTCAGCCCCTTGGAAACTACTTGTCTCCCTCTGTTCTGCCTTTCATTCCTTTTGTGGCCATAGGAACGAGAATAAACAGATGATCTCTGGTCTTTCCAGCTGCCCCAGCAAAGACCTTTGAACCTTTGGGTTTGTCTACTTCTGTACCTGCTCCGTCATAGATTCTCATTTAGAATCACCCACTAGGGCGCCTGGGGGAGCCCAGTCGCCTAAGTGTCTGGCTCTTGATTTCGGCTCAGGTCATGATCTCACGGGTTCATGCCGTGTTTTCTCTCTCTCTCTCTCTGCCCCTCCCCTTGCTTGTGCTGTCTCGCTCTCTTTCAAAAATAAATGGATAAACTTAAAAAAAAGAAAGCAAGATCTACTAACTACATTGAACAGTTAGTATTTTTCACAGCACACGGCACCCTGTGCAGCTAAGGTAGAGATAGCATGTATACTTAACACGTTTGTCCCAGACTCAGTTCGTGTCCATTTGTTACCTGACCTGTCAGAGCCTGTGCCACTGGCTGGGTGCAGTTGTCCTCTCTTGCCAGGCGAGCTCAGGACCGTGCACAGCTATTCTGGGTTTTGCATAGAGGACCTGAGGCTCTGTGAAGACGCTTTTCACCTGCTCGGGTCATAGGGCCCAGAAATGCCCAGAGGCTTTGGTGGCCTCAGTGTCGTCGTCGTCGTTGTGTTTCTTGGAGAGCAAGACCGAATCACAACGTAAACTCAGACGTGAATGCTCTCCGCAGTCAGGCAGGGTGAAGAAGTCAACAAGAGGAAGTTCTAGGGAGGAAGGACACAGGAGACCGTCTTACCCATAGTTCTCAGCAGATACTGCAGGGGGTCCTGTCTTCTTCCCCGCAGGGCAATGACCTCAGCTGACCTCAACCAGGATGGGCACGGCGACCTGGTGGTGGGCGCTCCGGGATACAGCCGCCCCGGCCACGTCCAGGTCGGCCGCGTGTACCTCCTCTACGGCAACGACCTGGGCCTGCCCCCCATCGACCTGGATCTTGACAAGGAGGCCCACGTGATCCTGGAGGGCTTCGAGGTGAGGCACCTATCTCCAGTTTTTCCTTTTGGTGTCCATAAGCCACTGCCTGTCTTTCTCGGCTGAGTCTCCAGAGTGAACAGCCAGTCACAAGAATGACGGTAGCAACACACAGCCGGTGGCCGATGCTTATTTTAAATGCTTGTTTTTAGTTTTGAGAGCGAGAGACAGCACTTGAGCAGGGAAGAGGCAGAGAGAGGGACAGAGTGCTAATGGAGGAGGGGCAGAGAGAGAGGGGGACGCAGAATCTGAAGCAGGCTCCGAGCTGTCAGCACAGAGCCCGACGTGGGGCTCGAACCTGTGAGACGTGAGATCACGACCTGAGCTGAAGTCGATGCTCAATGGACTGAGCCGCCCAGGCGCTCCACGCTTTTCCGTTTTTCAAAGCCCGTCCACTTCGTTGATGTCATTCTATCATCAACTGGATGTGTTTAGTCGAATACCTTCTGAAAACACACCTATTTAGAAGGGCTCTGAGTAGCCAGTCAGGACGTGATTTCTTGATATTACATCCCCACTTTTTGTAAACCTCCCCCTTTTTATACACAAATTTTTATTTTGTTAGAATTTCAGATTCACAGACGAGCTGTAGGGACAGTACAGAGTTCTGTACCCACTTTCTCCTAAATTAACGTCTTATGTGAACCAGCACCTGGTGCATGACTGTTCCCTAAACTCCAGACTTTGTTTGGATTTCATTCCTTGTTTTGTTTTTAATGTTTATTTTTGAGAGATGGAGAGAGAATGCAAGCAGGGGAGGGGCAGAGAGAGGGGGAGACACAGAATCCGAAGCGGGCTCCAGGCTCCGAGCTGTCAGCACAGAGCCCGACACGGGGCTCGAACCCATGAGACGTGAGATCAAAACCTGAGCTGAAGTCGGATGCTCAATGGACTGAGCCACCCAGGTGCCCCTCATTCCTTGGTTTTAAGTGGTTCATCAGCAGAAAAATCCCACACGGACTATATGGATGTTCGGCACGGAGTGTGCATTGACCCCTCTTGGGAGCACCAGGAGCCTGGAAGGTTCCCCCGGGGACCTGACCGGCATTCGTTCTCACAAGAGCTGTCTGCAGCCATGCTCCTTGGCACAGACGAGTGTGGGAGCTGGGGCAGGACTGCGTGCTCTGAATACCAAGCACCGGGGGAGGGAGCCCCGGACTTGGATCAGAAGCTGGTTCCTGTCCCGGGTAAACAGCAAAACCCCCTGCTGTCGAGTTAATGCTGTGGAGACCAAACAAGATGACGACGTTCCTGGACCCATGTCCACGAATGAAAAGCACGGGGTTTAGGACCTGAGCTGATGGAAGGGGCCCTGTATGTGCGCATTCGTCCGAAGTCGGCTGGCCGGTGTGCGAGGTTACACAGTCCCGGAGGGACAGCATTTTTTGGAACCTTCTGACACCACACGAGAAAGTTCCGAAATCAGTCTGCCCGTTGCTGTTTGCTCCTGACTTCTTCACAAAGCCACTGCCGTGTCCGCCTTTTGGGTAGGGTCTAACCCTTTGGGCTCCTGCAGACGGGTAGCGAGAGCGGCGGCTGCCGCCTGGGGACAATCAAGTGTCACGCACTTGGGACGTGGAGGGGGCAGCTCTGTGTTCTCGTCTCCCAGTGACCTGCGAGGAGAAGGAAGATGGCCAGAGGAAGGCGGGGACTAGGGAGGGGACTCCTTCGGTGCAGCCCGAGTCTGCAGTGAGCCTTTCTGTGTCCTTGTCTGTAGGGTGAAATGCATCTGTCGTGGCCCCTTCCTCGTGGCCCACGTGCTTTGTGCCCTGGAGCATTCCTTTCTAGTCTGTCGAGTTCCCGCCTCGCAGGAAGGGGCAGTCTTCAGAGGCACCGTGCACGTGGGTGTAGTGCCATGAGCCAGTACATAATTGATGCGGACTCTGGGCCGTGTGTATGTGGCAAACCACTCACTTGTGCAAGACTGGTCATTGTTCTAGAAGTTGTGTAAGAACGGGAGGACGAAGGGAGTTGCGTTTGGGTTGAGGCTGGTTCCAGAGGGTGGGGGATGAAAGGTCTAGGAAATCCACCTTGGAAGAAAATTGTCCCTGAACGGGCTGGGTTTTCTACCTGTAAACCATGAACGGGGGGATTAATAAACGTGCCTGCCCTAGTCCGTGTAAGGTGCTTAGAACGGGGTCCTCAGCAGTGTTGTCCAGAACTTTCTGTAGCGACATCCTGTAGCTATGCCGTCCAATTGGAGGGCCACTAAGTGCATCGGCTCTTGAGAACTTGCCAGGCAGCTGGTGCCTCTGGGGAGCTGAATTTTTAATGTGTTCGGTGCGAATTACTTTAACTGTAAGAGCCACATTTAGCTCGTGGCCCCTGCTCTGGCCATTGTGTGGCTCTAGAACATCCTGAGTGCTCATCAGACTATAGCTGTTGTTGCTGGTGGGTGCGATGATCATTTTGGATGCTTCCCAGGGGGGAGTTTGGCCCTGAACGTGGGGCAGAATGTACATTAGACTGGTTTCTAACTCTGCAACTTGTGAGGACGGACCTTCTTCTT